GGGAGCTTCTTTTATTGGGACCATGGCACTGCCTGAAGAAGTGAAGGCAGTTCTGGACAGCAGCTTTATTTACTATATTGTGGCACAGCAGGGGAAGACTCAAAGAAAAGACCCAGGGTGTTCTTGCACCTTGAACCAAGCAGATATTATCAAAAGCTTTTTTTTAAAAAAATACAAACACTAAGCAAAAAAAAAAAAAAAAAATCAAGGCCCTCTTTCTTTCTTTCTCTCTCTCTCTCTCTTTCTTAAATTTTAATTTAACTGTTTTCAATGCCACTGAGGTACTGTTTTGGCCATTCAACTTTGTGTGAATCCTCTTGCTTGTGCTATGTCCAGCATTTGTATTTGTTCAAACTGAGCAAAGAGCAATGTCAAATAGAACCTGTCTCAAGGACATCTTTTTTTTTTTCAGGATCTGTACGTTTATTGCCCTTTCCCATGTATTGTTATCCTTCTGTTTTACTCAGGCAAAGATGCTAACCCTCAAGAGAGAAAAGCTGCCATGAAGAATGCTGAACAATTCATACAACAGATGAATTATCCTGCCAATACACAGGTGCGATCTATTTATGAGGTGATACTAGGAGAGCATGAGCTTTGTTAAAGACTTCATTTTCTAAGTCAGCAAAAAAATATTTTTAAGGGCTTGTAAGACATAAGGGCAATATTTCACTAATATATAATTCAGAAAAGTTTCTGTTTGAGTAACTATGTTGGTATTGTATTCCTCCCTTTTCATGTGTCTTGCTTCATTTCAGATTCAAGTCCTTCCTGAAGGAGGTGAAACACCAATTTTCAAACAATTTTTCAAAGACTGGAAGGATAAAGATGAAAGTGATGGTTTTGGCAAAGTGTATGTCACTGAGAGAGTGGCTAAAATTGAGCAGATTGAATTTGATGCTACCAAGTTACATGAGTCTCCACAAATGGCTGCCCAGCATAACATGGTAGATGATGGTTCAGGGAAAGTAGAGGTAATTTTTGTGCTGTATTAAATTGTATCCTGTCTACCTAATGTATTCTGCCACATGTAATGGGATAAGCTGATACTCTATGTTTTGCTTTTTACATTGTTATGTAGAGTAACACTACATTAGTGGCAGTGTTACTTCTACCATCAGAAAGGATAGTTTGAAGTAGAAAGCTAGCTTTATGTTGAGTCCTGTTCTTTTGGTGCTTACAAAAGATGTACCAGTCATCAATAGAAATCAAACAGTAGAAATAATCTCTCATTACACAATACCTTGCAAATATATAGTTCACATGATCCTTAGTCTAAAGAAAAACTTACAGCTTGTATCAGCTCAAAATCTGGATTGGAAAGACTTAGCCCTTGGAGTCAGGTATCCATGCCATGTCTTTATGTAGGTATCCAGGCTACTTTCTGGAGTAACCTTGTATGTCTCCAGTGTGTCTCTCAGGTCTCAGGAAGCCTGCATTTGCAGAGATAAAGATGACTGTACAGCCTTTCTATATCTGTCTAAATCCCACTTGAGGACTGTTGAATGCAGACTGCATGTTGGGATTCTGGAAGAAAAAGAAGGGAATACCTATGTCTCATTGGTGTATTTTCTAGGTTTCTGACCTCATACTTGGGATGGTCCATAAGCTTGAGCCAAAGCACCTTAGTTGTTAACTGGACTGGGTTGTAGTGAATGAAATAGGAAGAAATCTGCCTAACAGTGTGTTATCTGACTGCAGCATGCCTCTCCCAATGATATAATAGCTTTATGATGATCGTAATGTTGTACCATTCTTGTCATATTGTCACCTTAAGATGTTAAGAAAGTAAGGTCAGCACAGCATTATGAGGTGATTGTGTGGCATTAAAGCATTGAGACAAAGTGTATTGCAGTGGCTTTTTGATGGTCATCATTCATTCATTCAGTGAGCACAGGGTGTGTCTATCTACTTCATGAAGAAACCTTTCTAGTTTCATTCCATAACACTTGGGAATAGAAACAAAGGTCACTCAGGGGATGATAGAGTTAATTGCTTCAAGAAGAGTCTCAGGATGAAGGTCAGCATTCTCCAGTGATTTCCCTGTTTCCCCAGATCTGGCGTGTGGAGAGCAGTGGCAGAGTTCCTGTGGGACCTGAGACATATGGACAGTTCTATGGGGGTGACTGCTACATTATCCTCTACACTTACCCCAAAGGGCAGATCATCTACACATGGTATGTTTAGTTGGCTTTGAACAGACCTCCAGCATTTGGATATTATTTTATGCTGACTTTATGTCCTTTTGAGTATAAACTTGTGTAAATGCAAGATTGTTCACTGTGTGTTTGTTGTAGTATAAGCTCTGGGTCGTTTTGAAGCTGAACTTAACCACTGTGTTTCTCCTTGCCTTCCTCAGGCAAGGAGCCCATGCTACAAGAGATGAACTGACTGCATCTGCATTTCTGACTGTTCAGCTGGATCATCTGTTGAATGATCAGGCCGTGCAGGTTAGTGTCTTTTGGATAGCATGCAATACATGCAAATTTCAAAAAGAACTGAAGGGAAGAGGTAGCATTTAAAGACTGGGAATGTCAATTGCTCATGGTCTGTATCAAGCCAAGAACCATGGACTCCTTTTAAAATCACTGGAGAATGCGTATTTGAATCATGCTTTCTGTATGCAGATGCCCAAAAGAACACAGATATACCAGAACCTAAAACTGCCTTTACTTTCCTTCAGCTCTCACTGTCTAAAAATTAGGTTTCAGTCCTGCCTAGACTTACAGCCTCTCTGCATAGCCAGTGGAGAGTGAATGATAAGGTGTTAAGATGATTGGGATAAAATCCTCCCAGGGCAATTCACTCTGAAGCAGGTGCCTGACAAGGCAGTAGCCCTGTGGGAGCCCCCCGTCTCCTTTTGATTATAGAAGAAGCTGTGATATTTAGCCCAGATAAGACACCTGACTTCTAGAGGGCCAAAACTGGGAGATATGAAAGCCATAAGACAGCCAGAACAGGAGAGCATGCTGGAATTATGCAACAGGGTCTGGCTTGTCCTTGCATTAGTGAGGAGCATAACTTGGGTTTTCCCATCCTGCAGTGCTTGCAGCTCCATAAATGCAGGATACACATCCTCATGTGCACAAATGGGGTGTGCAAGGCAAGGCACAGGACATTGGCAACTGAAAGGTGTGGGAGATAAACTAATCCTAGCGTGACTAGGTATGTTCTTCACTAGTGAGGAGCCGTGGGTAGGAGAAGGCTTCCACAGAAAAGCTAGAGCAGTAAGACGACAAGAGACAAGCAGATATTTTCTAGGCAGTAGGAGATAATTCTGTGATCCCCATTTCTTAATTACAAATGTAAACGGCTTCCCCTCCCCACCAAGGTACAGTTCATTTAGATGGTAGCCCCTACATTTAGCCATTAATCAGTTATTATTTATGACTGAAATTGTATTAAGGAAGGATTAGAACACTTCTAGGTAATTACTGCTTGAAATATTCCTTACACATGTTCTATATTTGGACAGAGTCCAGCACAGTACAGTCCTGCCTCATACATGAGACCAATACTAATACTACAGAAAAACAATATTACTGCTAACAGTTGTAAGAATAATGTGCTTAAAAATATTTTTATTAAAGCTGAAGTATTTCCATTTCACTGTAATAGATGTGATGCTTAAAAGTAAATATAATACGTTACCGTGCTTAACATCTGTATCAGCATTATTTGACAGATTTAAGTGTGCTATTTTGTATGGTCACTAGATGGCACGACAGCACAAATGACTATTAAAAAATCAGGTTTGCAGAAGTATGTTCCACTCGGCATTTTGGGAGGCTTGGCTTTTTTTGTTTGTTTGGGTTGTCATGTTGGTTTTTTTCGTGTTTGGCGTTTTTTTCCCCATTTGTAAAATCCTGCTGCAGTTTGGCACCTACAAGTATATGTGTCCTAGGTTATCCTTATCAGACAACTGTAGCAGCCTATCCAGCTGTGAAATAAGCTGTTACTTATTTTAGTTATTGTTAGTGTTTAGTTTAGTTTAATTAAGTTTAGTTTAGTTATTATTACACCTGCTCCTGCCCAGCTTCAGTCACCCCTCTGGGCACCCCAGCTCCCAGCTGCCCCAGGCCTCACTAGGAGCTCTCCACTTCCCCTACTCTGCTAACTATGCAGCACATCTCATTCCCTTTTTATGCCTTCTTTCTGAGAGTGAAAGGCAGGGAGTTGCAGCCCTCCACCTTGGCAGGTGGTACAGTTACAAAGGAAGAATAAATGGTGGTATACAAATAACTTTTATCATACATTAACATAAAAATAGTTGTTCTTCACAGTGCAATGCCGTATTTTAGATGGCAGTAGCATCTTTTGCACCTGTAATGGAGGTTCATTTTTGTCATCCATGTTATCCTCTGGAAGATAAATTCATGCTCATCTTTTTCATCTTCTTGCAGATAAAATACACATGGGAATAATGAATAAAATGAATAACCATTCTCTTCTGCTTAAATACAGGGCATCTAAACTTCCAAGATGTTTTTTCAGGGGAATTAAGTCACTCTATAAAACACCATGAAATGACAGTTCTTTTGAAAAAGAGTAATTTTCTTATTACAGTAGATAGCAGCCATTTTAATCAGCTCAACATTCTGTTAGAAGTTTGAATCTTGTCTTTGTGTCAGCATGATTGACAAAAAAAATCTCACAAATGCTCCAACTCTCTATGTCTGGAACTATATTTTTAGATCTCAGCTTGCCACTTCTCATTTGTGCTAACATAACATTATTGGCTAACAACGCCTATGCTAGTCAACAAAGACCAAAAATAACCACCTGTATCCTTTTGTTTCTTTTATTGCATTTCTTTACATATGTACAGATCCGAGTCACTCAAGGCAAAGAGCCTGCACATCTACTGAGCTTGTTCAAAAACAAACCACTTATAGTCTACAAGGATGGGACATCCAAGAAAGAAGGTCAGAAACCTGCTCCACCCACACGACTCTTCCAAATCCGCAGGAATCTGGCAGCCATTACTAGGATTGTGGAGGTAAGGTCACCTGCTGGGTAAACCAACTATTCCCCATGGGAAATGGTATATCTGCCATCTGACTAATCTTATTGGGTAGGAATGCAGAACTCCAAATGCAATCCACTCCTCTATGTGACCAACCCATCTAATAAACCAAAGAGAATATGCTGTAACTGGCTGCAACCAATCTACATCGTTCAGAGGAAGCTGTAAGAAAATGCACAGCAGTCAGTCGACAAAGAGTAGACAAGAAGTCAGCAACCCCTATGAGATGGTGTTTCCTATTTTATGAGCCTTTCCTACTGCCAAACAGTCCTAAGATTTGCCCTTCAAGTCAGTTCTCTGTCTTAGGGTCTTTTCACTACAAAACTAGGGAAAAATTGAAGACCAAAAGCATAGCTGATTAACATGTCTACACATTTTATATAAACATGCAGAATACTTATTACATTATTTGAAAATGTGAAGAATAAAACAATTTCTTCTTTGATCTAGGTTGATGTTGATGCAGTGTCACTAAACTCTAATGATGTCTTTGTTCTGAAACTGCCAAACAACTCTGGCTACACCTGGGTAGGAAAAGGAGCAAACAAAGAAGAGGAACAAGGAGCTCAATACATTGCAAGTGTTCTTAAATGCCAGACTGCTAAGATTAATGAAGGCCAGGAACCAGGTTAGTATGAGGTCATGTGGTTGCTAATAGGCAGCTGAGGATACACTGCACTGCATGGAGATACAGCCTAAATAGTTTTTGCAATTGTATATTTTATAGGCAGAAGCATATGCTCACTCTCTTCCTTTGAAAATTCAACCTGACATTTGCCATGGAGATCTATCCAGAACTAGCTGATGCACAAGCAGTGCAATGTCCTGGAAGTCTGTAGGGCAGGAGCACGAGCTTCAGAGGAACAGGGTCTTTTCTTTACCCTGAGTGTCTAAGAGAGGAGAAAGATAGCACATTGCTAAGACTAAGAGAATTGGTATTGTTCAGTCTGGAAAAGAGGAGGTATGGTGGTAATCTAATTGTGACCTTAGAAGTATGGTGGTAATCTAATTGTGACCTTCTAGGACCTGAAGGGAGCCTACATGAAAGATGGAGAGAGACTGTTTACCAGACTGTGTAATGACAGGACAAGGGGGAATGGCTTCAAACTGAAAGAGAGTAGGTTTAGATGACATAGTAGGAAGAAATTCTTTACTGTGAGGGTGATGAGGCACTGGAACAGGCTTCCCAGAGAAGTGGATAACCCCATCGCCGGAAGTGTTCACGGCCAGATTGGATGGAGCTCTGAGCAACCTGGTCTAGTGGAAGGTGTCCCTGCCCACGGCAGGGGGGGGTTGGAACTAGATGATCTTTAAGGTCCCTACCAACCCAGGCCATTCCATGATTCTGTGATTCTTTATAGGTCTGCAAGTGGTATTGTTATTTTGATGAACTTCAGGAAGTACTGTAAGAAATGCGCTTATCTTTGAGACAGCAAAGACATTGTTTAAGGATTCCTGAAACACTATCTAACAAGCCAAAAGATCAAATGCTAAATCCACTGGTGAATAAATTATATATTGTGTCTTTCAGAGGAATTCTGGAAAGCACTTGGAGGTAAAAAAGAATATCAGACGTCCTTACAACTCTTGACAAAGGCTGAAGATCATCCTCCTCGCCTGTATGGTTGTTCTAATAAGACTGGCAGATTTATTGTAAGTATAGGAGGGATACTTTCTGTTTAATTATATAGTTTCTGGTGTATTTTGCCTTGGGAATCAGCTGTCATTAAATGAATATGGGGATCTGGCTTAGTTAGCCATGCTTGGCAAGAGCTAGAGAGTTGACATTTGGTGGTTTAAACAGCCCAAATGCAAAGGACAGACAGAATAATTAATACTGCAGAAGTTTGCATGCAGAGCCTGCTCCAGCCTGGAACTAGAGGCTTGCAGATGCAAAAAGATAAAGTATTTGCTCAGTCAAAAGCAATTTTATTGTTGTAGAGCATTGCCAGATTGCTATCAATTTGCTGAGAAAGTGCAGGTCAGTGCCTTACCCCTTATGTGTTTGGTAGTGATGGTGAGGCAAAGAAATGTTGCTTGCCAAAAATCCCTAGCAGTCTGAAATTTTCCATGGAGATTTAAGATGTGTAATTATGCCTTTAAGGTATTGGCCTGTGCTCAAAGAGGTAGGAAAACCTATTTCCTTGGCAGAAATACTCAGAGTTATGCACTGGGTATTGAGTCTGTGATTCAGGCTTAATTACTTACTGTGTTCTGGGAGGGCAGTGCTGTGTCACTGTCTGGCAAGGATGCACTCATTTTTAGGTAGGGGACACAGCTGACTATCATTTCTGCAGTCTCCTTAAGGCATAGCCCAGTCACTTGGAGAGGGATAAAGAAAAAAGGATCCTTAATAAGGACTCTAAAATCTTATGAGAGTAGTAAAGTGTATTTTTCTAACAAGCTTCTAAAATACTCCTGTGAAATACAGTAATAGGAACCAACCCCTCCGTAATAATCTGCTGGGAGCTATAGACTTGTTTGGTTTTTATTTTAAATTACCCTCCATATTCTATGAAACTCCCTCTTTCCTGTAGCATTTCTCTAGTAACTGAATCATCACTAGTAGAGCTCCCCAGAAGAGGGAGGTCAGATCACTCTGACCTTCTGGCCACCATAACACAGGGTGGGGAAAACGAATGACTTTGGCACCTTCTGCTTATCGTCCTTTTAGCATTCCTACATGGCCACGCATAGATAAACCCTTGACAGTTCTTCAAAACTCAACTGTAATTGTGAAGTGACTGGGAAGCTTGGGTGTGTATTCCGTCACTGAGCTCACCCACTGCAAACCAAAGCAGTTTCTTTTCCTAAAAAATGACTGTAAGCTGCATGACTACATCAGCTGATATCAGCTTCGTTGGTTCAAGGTGCTCTGTGGAAATATCCCTAGGCCCTTCTTCTGGCAGACCTTAGTCCCAGATTAACAGTAGTCAACAATTACAGTGTAAACCTACCAATATCCTACCAATTCTGACAAACTGAAAGCTGATTTTATAGGACATGTCATTATGTGCTTTGTTTCCTTTCAGAGAAACACTCTTGACACATTCATCAAGTCAGTTTAGGCCTTGATCCTTTAGAAGCAAAAAGAATGGCTCACAAGACTCTGGACTTATCCTTTTAAAAATAGCTTTGGTCTGTGCAAAATTGTGTATCTTGATAAATCATTAAAAACAAATAAAAAAACCCCAAACCATAATATTCTTTTTAGATTGAAGAGGTCCCAGGAGAATTCACTCAGGATGATCTAGCTGAAGATGATGTCATGTTGCTGGATGCTTGGGAGCAGGTGAGCTGTGTACTTGACCACTGCTTTTTGTGATAATAAGGACAATTTATTCTTAACCACTTATTTCATAAGATGGCAGGAAAAATCATTGTGTGAAAATGGAAGCAGTTTTGTTTTCTTCAAATTATACCATAGGGAGCTATATTTTTGAGCTATATGATATGCTAGTGTGAACACACACAATTGAGTTCCCAAGCATGTGAGACCACAACAGGCACCTCCTGTTTATAAACCAATGCAGGCTGCAAGAGTATAAGCCCCAGCAGTGTTCTGAAAGGTTTTCAGTAGAGTTCCTGGCAGCAACACCTACAAAAAGTCCTATAGGACAAATACTAGGGACAAATACTAGGGACAATACTAGGGACAAATACTAGGCCCTTCCACAAATTTCTTCAGAATAACTGGGTGCAGGGTGACAGAAACAATCTTCCTCAGTTCCCTGGTTCACTGAAAACTAGAAATGTGGAGAGGTTTTTGAATTACAAGGAGACTCACTGTGGATGCAGAGAGCATAACTATTTCTCACGGTGTATTTTCTCTACCCTTCCTCTCCTCTTGGAGGGAAAGGGGAGGAGGCCACAGATCCCACTTTTTGTCTTCTTCAGCCTAACCCTTAAGGAACAAAAGGCTGAGGTTTTTGGAAATGAGAAGGAATGTCCAAGGTCCATGGGGGAAGGTGGAGGAAGAGCTGGATGGAAAGTAGTTGGTACATACTGACTCAGATAAGAAGGAAAGAAGTCTGGGACATGTAGCTAGTTTCCAAAAGAATCCTGGACAAAAGAAGAAGAAGGGGGGAGGGGGGTATGGATTGCTGATCGAGGCTCTGGTTGTTGGGTTTTTCAGTGGATTTTCTAGCAGTGACTGGGGGTAGCACTGATCACAGGGCACAAATGTTGATGCACACACAGAGCTCAAACCAGAGAGTATTTCTATGTGCACCAAAGAGCAATTTCCTTGGAAAATTCTAAAAGATATGAATGGAACTGCAGTCCCTCACAAGGGAGAAGAAAAACATCAATTGTCATTTGTGAGAGCTGTGTATCTCTGCAGTCTTTTCATAGTATATATTCTTTCTCCTAGTGGAATCAACTATTTTGTACTTTTCCTGCTGTACACAGCATCCTTGTAACAACATGGAAACTATATCTTTCTCTCCTCTGTTTGCAGGTTTTTGTCTGGATTGGGAAGGATGCTAATGAAACTGAACGACAGGAATCTGTTAAATCTGGTAAAGCAAATCAATCTGGCAGAATTCTGAGTAAAGTAGCATCAATATTACTTAAGAGAAAAATATGATGTAGAAGAAATCTAGTTAAAAAGTGTTACCAAGCTTAACAGGATTTAATCTAGGAGAAGATTATTTTCTCCTTTAAATATGCTTTAAAACTCATTGAATCTTTGTTATCTTTAAGTTTATGAAGGATAAAATTAATCAAGATAGCATTACCAGGCTGCAGAGCTTTTTTAAGAGTATGTAGGAGAGCTCCATGAAAAGAAACTGCACTGAAAAGAAAAAGAATTTAAAAGGAGGTCCCTACTGAGCTGCACCCTCACTTATGTATATAGAGAAAGGAATGCCAACACTGCCACCCTTCACTAAGTTAAATTTGGAGGAGGAAATTCCAATTGCAGAACAAATTAAGACAACTTACTTGGAGTGCATCTCCTTGAAAAATCATGTGTCATCTCTGGTGTGATTTCACATAGCTGAGCCATTCTGACAAAGTTTGTGCTGAAAATGCTTGCAGCTATTTCCCCAGAGCAGCTATGATTACCTGGCTGTGCTTCCTGTAGGTGGTGATGGCACATTGTGATGTCAAGACAAACTATCTGGATTTCAGTAAGGCATTTGACATGGTCTCCCACAGTGTACTTCTAGAAAAACTGGATCTCATGGCTTGAGTGGGTGGACTGGATGTCCCAGAGACTTGTGATGAATGGAGCTAAATCCATTTAGTGGTGTTCCCAAGGGCTCAGTATTGGGGCTGGTCCTATTTGACATATTTACTGATGATCTGGACATGGGGATTGAGTACATCCTCAGTAAATTTGCGGACGGCGTGAAGTTGGGTGGGAGTGTTGATCTGCCTCAGGGTAGGAAAGCTCTACAGAGAGACCTGGACCACCTTGATCAGTGGGCTGAGGACAACTGCATGAGGGTCAGTAAGGCTCAGTGCTGGTCCTGCACTTGGGACACAACAACCCCATGCAGCACTATAGGCTGGAGAAGGAGTGGGTCAAGTGTTGTTCACCAGAAAGGGACTTGGGAGTGCTGGTGGACAGCGGCTCAATATGAGCCAACAGTGTGCACAGGTGGCCAAGCAGGCTTATGGCATCTTGGCCTGTATCAAGAATAGTTTGGCCAGTAGGACTAGGGAAGTGATCATCCCCCTGTACTCAGCATTGGTGAGGCCACACCTTGAGTACTGTGTTCAGTTTTGGGCCCCTCAGTTTAAAAAGGACAGTGAGGTGCTGGAGTGAGTCCAGTGAAGGGCAATGAGGCTCATGAAAGGCCTAGAACACATGTGGTATGAGGAACAGCTGAGGGAGTTGGGTTTGTTTAGCCTTGAGAAGAGGCAGCTCAGGCATGACCTTACTGCTTTCTACAGATACCTGACAGGGGGGTGTAGAGAGATGGGAGATGGTCTCTTCTGCCATGCCTGCAGGAAGAGGACAGAGGGTATGGCCATAAGCTGAGACAGGGGAGATTTAGATTGGATGTCACTGTTAGGGTGGTCAGGCATTGGAACAGGTTGCCCAGGGAGGTGTTAGTCACCATCCCTGTAAGTGTTTAAGAGGCATCTGGATCTGATGCTGGAAGATATGGTTTAGGGACTAGGGGTTACAGCAGAGTGGCAGGTTAATGGTTGGACTTGATGATTTTGGAGGTCTCCTCCAACCTTGATTACTCTACGATACACTGGCTTTTACATGGGGAAAATGGCAATGAAGCTTGTGTCTCTGCACAGCACCAGCAAACTTTTTTCCTGTCTAAAAGCTAAAACCCAGCTGCATGGCAACAAACTGATCAGAGCAGCAAACCCTCTGTTTTAACCTCATGGAAAATTCCTCCACTGGAAGCTGGGAGAAATCAGTAATTACCTGATCACTTCATTGGCTTTGAAATAATTTAATTGACTACTATATTGCAGTAGCCCTGGGCTCTTTCACTAGGGCTTTTAATGTAGTTTTTATACAAAAGGAATGAACTAATACATTACATGCTTTATTTCCTCTCTGTTTTTAGCCAAACGCTATATTGAAACAGATCCTTCTGGCAGAGATAAGGGCACCCCCATCGTAATCGTGAAGCAGGGGCACGAACCCCCAACATTCACAGGCTGGTTCCTGGCTTGGGACTCCAACAAATGGAAGATGTGATCTCTCCAGGGAGACTCCAACTTCAAGCCAAAGAATTATCAGAGCCTAGCTACTTTTCTAGTATTTTTAAGCATAAGCTTATGCAACAATATGACGCATCTGTTGTTACACTTTCCTGAGCTTTGATATATTTCTGTGAATAACCTAGAAATCCTTAGCACTGGAAAGGATAAATGATAATTATAAACTAGCCAAATGGGGTGAGTCGGGCTTTTCTAATAGTAAATACAGAAAGTGCTACCAATCTTTAATGCTTAAAGAAAGAAATCTACTTTCTTTAATCTATTGATTCTTCAAACGGAAGCTGTGGATCAGTTTATTTTAATGTGCTAAAGTGGACCAAATTCTGCCTTCACTTAAAAATCCAAACTAATGCCACAGCAACTCCTTTAGATCAAGGTCAGCACAATATTGTGCAGAATTTGGCCTGATAAAGGACTAAGTCTGTATCTGTTGCAAGGGTAGGGCTGGACCTGATTTAATTACTAGGCAAACATATTGCTACACTCAAAATTTCAGATGATGTCTGATGCAGAGTGGGAACTGTGGCTTGCAGGGGGCAAATAAGGGATGGGTATTTTGAGAAAGCTGTATTAAACATGTTTGTTTGCCCTGTTAATACTATAGATTTGGAGCTTCAGACTGAATGCTGTTAGAATAGGAAGTTGACAAAGGTGGGGTTTTTTTGAGGGACTGTCTAGGTTATTGTAATGAATTCCTTTAGATTTCTTTTTCCAGCTCCACCAGGTCTTTTTAACCAAAGCTCTTAAACACATTGTAGTGCATTAGTGCTTTTAAGTGGAAGCAGAAGTAACTTCAAAAACACATACCTTGCCTTAACCAGATTGCACTTAAGCCATACTTTGCCTTGGATGCCTTATTCAGCAGTACTCAGTTCTTTTTCAGCATGCAGACTGCTTGTCAGGGGCAGGATGTGTTTCTAATTTTCTATACAAGTCTTTTTACAAATATCAAGCACATTAAGTGCAAGGAAATGCCTTGTTTCAATAGCATTTCTGGGAATTTGGAGTGTGAGCACAGACCATAGAATACGGCCTTCTCTTTTCTCTCAGACACAGTCACTTGGGCTTTTTTTTATTCTGGTGAATTCAAAAGTACATTTTCAAAATGGTTTTTATTTGTAACTTAGCCAGAAAAGTCTACTTAAGGGCAGTGGGAAGAATTCTTTAAATCTTTAGCACTGCTTTGATCACTTATCCTGTAATGCTTGTTTTAAACAACAATTTGTACAGCTGTAAATCATGTCAATGTGGCTTTTTAATGACAGCATTTTAGTAGTTTTATTATTCTTATAAGTTAGGTTGGAAAGTGAAGTTTTAGACATTTTTGTATTTTTTTTAACATGATTGTGATTTTGAATTCAGGTAATGCCAAAGAGTGAATTTAGTCTGAGGTTATAATATCAATGACAAAAGAATTGTGAAGCTTAGAGATTAATTATAGGAGTTTGTAAGCTTTAAACATTTGTTTAAATCTCTGCTAATATAACTGGGCTCTATATGAATGTAATTTCATTCAAAATAAAATTACAAAGAACAGTATTCTACATGCCAGACTGATATTCCTCTCTCTGACATACTGTTGCTCAGTGCTTCCACTGGTGTCCAGCAAAACTTCCTAAAACCCCCAGTAGGTACCTTCCCTTTTAGACGGACAATGCAATGAGAAGTTACTTGTTGGTGCCATTTTACCCAATGGAGGTTTCTCTTCCCAACAACTTGACAGTTACAAAAAACACAAACCTAAGTGAAGATCAAAGTACTGGGTGCTTATTAGCTTGTGATTTTCCTCTTTAATTAAAAACTACCACTGTTATTAGCAAATGCTTTGGTTTTATAACCTCTTGCCTGCAAAAATGATTGTCCATAGAAATTATTTTATGAAACAGGGGGAAATGGGTTTATGTTTGTTTTTAAAGGACAGGTCTTGCTTTTTATTTGTGAGAGTAGATACGGTGTCCTTCGCCTGCTGGAAGGAGCACAAAGACCTTTTCAGTTCCTCAGCCACTGAGCAGCCTGTAATTGTCCCATGGCCATCTTCACACATACATATGATTCTTCTCATTTTTAAAAAATAACAGTTATAGTAGCTTCTGAACCAAGGATTAGACAAGATTTGCCCTTCTTGTACTTAAACATCTTCCGGAACACTGAGGGCTCTGTACTGGCACAATCTGCCAGCATGTTCTCCAGCACTGTGAAAGCCTCTTTTCAGTTCCCTTGCACAAGACAGAAGAGCTTTTGTTGTCTTCTGGCCTGGGCATTGGAGTTTGTAATACATTGTCCTGGCACGTTGGTTACTGATGTTGAGAAGAGCATTGAGAGCTCATAAGGGAACAGTGTTCTCAACTGGCCTTTAAGCACAACAGCTGCTAGCAACATTGTTCTTGGGTTTACTTGCCAGTGAGGAAGTTTATTTTTCACACATACACGCACAGTACACACAAAGATGTATTTCTTTCTCTCAAGAAGAAGAGAGGGAAGGGGAGAGAGAAAGGGAGGACAGACAGGATGGACCATGAGTGCTTGGAAATGTTAAAGATTAAGCTGTTTTCAAGAAAATATTTAAGCACATAACTTTATTGATACACACATCAAACCTATCTGACTTGTTTTCAGAATAAATAGAAAAAATTGTGCAGATCTATACAGTACAGTCAAGTTTACTCAAGAATAAACTATGTCTTGCACTATTATCACACAGTAATAGAATGTGCATTCTATTTGTAGTGGCAAAATTAGCCCCTGATTTAGCAGTTTCATTATGCTACCAAACAGAAAGCATTCATATGTTCTAGTGGACGTAAATACAGCATCATTTTTCATCTTGGTTTTATTTCATTACCACAGATGTTAGGAATCCTTAGAACCAACAGGACATCATAGTACTATACAGTATTTTTAATATAACATTATATTGCATAAAATACTATAATCTTAGACTATAACTACAGCTTATGCACAGGAGAGGAGACACCTTCTGGAATCACTGCTCTAAATACCCATTTTGACCAGAGTACACAGTGCTGTACAGCACCAGATCTGCTGTACATGATTATGTTAAGTGTAGCTAAATGCAATTGAGCAGTTTGATTTCTTGCCAGTGCAGACTCACACAGGCTTCATCTGCAACAACAAGAAAATAATGGACATGGGAGATAGCAGAGAGTGGCACTGTGGTACCGTCCCTTCCAGGAGAACTAAGGAATTGTACAGAAAATATTTTGCTCACTGGACTACAGTAGGAGGTGTTCTCAGACATCTCTATAGACTATGAGAACACTCCTTGTTATGAACTTTGTAATCTTCTTGTAGTCTTAATTTTTACTGGATCTAAAAGGGCTAAAAAGAAAAGGAAAAAAAACAACCAGCCCAAACAAGCTTAGTTTTTTCCACGTACTGAAATTGCTCTTCAGAGTCCACTTCTCTATAGGAAAGCTTGGTTAAAAGCCTTCAAACTTGGCTTTAGGATACAACTGCTTCCTCAGCATTCTGCTGAAGTTCTGTCTTTATGGGTTAATTGAGCCAAATGTAAGTATATAAGGAAAAAAAAATTCTAATGAAACCAGAGCTAGATAATACTTTGGTGTGCTAACTTTACAAATCCTTGCTTTTTCTTTCTTAAAGTCAATAATGTTGTCTTTAGATAAAGAAATAGTACATTCCTCCCTTCTTATGGCTAGGACTTCTGCTGCTAAAATCAAAGGAGCTTCTGGTTTAATTGAAAACACAATCAGATCTTTAATCTACTACACATCCTTAATGTCTAATTACATCCTCTCTTGTCTGGCCTAAAGTTACTTTGACCTCCTCTGCCTATTAGCACATTACCTTATGCTACAAATCAATAAGCCACATTCACTTCAATTAAAGCTTCCAAGGTGCAAGAGGGAGAAGGGCAGACCAATGGGAACTGGGGGGCCCACCATGTCATAAAACTAGTGGATGATTGGTCTGGCCCTTTTCTCCCTGCACATCATTTTCCTCTTGACATTAAAGCATGTTTGCATTGCAGGGGAACAAAAAATTGTCCCTACAGTACAGAACATGTGAGCTGATTTTTATTTTTTCTTTTAAATAACAGCAAAAGGAGTTATCCCAGGGGAGCAGGCAGAAGGGGAAACAGTCTGTATCAAGCTTCTTCCTAAGTGCATCCACCCTGTGAGTGCTCTCTCCTCAAAGGGATGCTAAGAGGGTACTGAGAACCACAAGACTGTACCTTTTACTACCACATTTAATCAGTCAGCAGTGAAATGTAGGCTTCTGTGCACAAGAAATGAAAGCATCAAGTGAAAGCATTAATTTTTATTGTTTGTTAGACTGCAGATATTTCTTCAGAAAATTACCTGGAGGGGGGCAAGCAGGACCAGCGACGGTAGGTGCAATGCTTCTTCAGGAATGTATCAAGAATCCAAGCAGTGAGCCTGGGACAATCTGAATGGTATCCCACTGCAAGACCCAGAGAGAGACATGTTTGCTTTAGCCACAACAATGCTTTGATTATTCTAAAAAAGCTTGACCAGTGCTAGAAGAGCACAGCTTTCCCTGCTGCTCTTTAACAGATAGCACAGAGGTGACTCAGGGTGATTTCACAGCAGTTGGCAATATTAACATCAAGGCTGGATGCAATCAGGCAATTTCAACATAATTTACCCAACAACTCACCATGCTTTACCTAGTCTCATGCCCTTCCTACAAAAGAAGCAGCCACAGAAACAATCCTGATTAAAGCAGACCATTGATTGGAAGATTCCAAAACCAAATTTTCCTCCGGGCTTAGATTTTTACAAAGGTGACTCAGAAAGGTCACAGGTTTCCTGTAACAGACCTGGCAGCACATCAGAGTCCCCATTGAACCAGCTGAGTGGGGCATCTCTCTAGATGGTGCCAAAGATTGCTGTCCTTCCCAACACTAACCAGCTGCTCTCCTACAGAACTTGGGTGAGAAGTTAGTTGTTGTAGCAGGGAAAATGGATAGGAGTGGCAGCGAATGTCTTACCAGCATGGACAAAAGGCAGGAAGTCCACTCTAACAATCCCCTTCTCTCTTACAAGTCGACACTAGCTATCTCATGTGCCTTCTGCTGCCAGGCTCTCTCCCATTCTAGTATTAGCAAATACTCTCCAGCATCCAAATAATCCCACATGTGAATTCTCAAAGCCATCTTTTTGTTTTTAAGATGGTGTGAGTAAAGATGATGTAAACCTG